AAGCATAAATTTGGACTGTCAGCAGACATTGAAAAAATGTTCCTCCAGGTACATTTACCTGAAAAGGATACAAAGGCCTTCAGTTTTTTATGGTATCCTGACGGTTATCTTGACTCTTCTCCTGAGGTGTATGAGTTGCATGTACACCCTTTCGGGGCTACGTCCTCACCGTTTTGTGCTACTTATGCTTTAAGACGTATGGCTGCAGATCACGAAGATTTGTTCGATGAAAAAACACAGTCCACCTTACGAGAAAATTTTTATGTAGACGATTGTCTGGTCTCAGTAGAAACAGTATCTGAAGCTGCCGAGTTAGCAATTAACCTGACAAGACTCTTAGTGCTTGGAGGTTTCCGTCTACATAAATGGGTTAGTAACGTAAATGAAGCACTGAACGATATCCATATAGACGACAGGTCAAACAATTTGGTTCGTATACCAGGTTCAACAGAACGTATACAGAGAACTTTAGGACTCTGTTGGCACACGCAATCCGATTGTTTTGCATTTGACGTAAACCTCCCTGAACGCCCGGTCACTAAGAGAGGCATTCTATCATGTGCATCATCGTTATATGATCCGCTTGGGTTTTTAGCGCCTTTATCACTTATACCTAAACGAATTCTTCAACAGCTATGTCGTAAAATCTATGAGTGGGATGAGATGATAGACGAGGAGTCACGGTTGAGTTGTTGAGGTTGGTTACAAGCAGTTGCAGGTGTCAGAGACCTAAGGATACCACGATGTCTCAATATTGAGTTGTACGATAAAGGGCAGATTTATTTACATCTGTTTTCGGATGCTTCAGAAAGCGGTTATGTAGCCGTAGCCTATGTGAGATTACAATATGATGCAAGTATAACGAGATGTAGCTTCATCCTAGGCATGTCTAGAATAGCACCCCTAAAATTTGTCAGTGTTCCTCACCTTGAACTACAAGCCGCAGTACTGGCAGTGAAGTTGATGAGGCAAATAGTAGAGGAAATAAAGCTAAGAGACATGACTGAAATCTACTTCTGGACGGATTCTATGATAGTATTAAATTACATATTTAATACGACGTCACGTTTCAAGACATATGTAGCTAATAGAATTAACTTCATTCACGAGCGAACTAGGCCATCTCAATGGAAGTATGTACCATCATCCATCAATCCTGCTGATCTTGCTTCCAGAGGACTATGTAAGTATGACCCTAACTGTATCGAAGCTTGGCTTTCAGGTCCCGAGTTCCTAACGACTGAGAGAGATAAATGGCCTGAGTGGAGACGAGAAGAAATATTAAAGCTCCCATTCGAGCTAGAGTTAAAGAACGCCACAACCTTGGACACCAGGACTACAGTTTTTCCCCTTGATAAATTTATATCCTATTTTTGGTCATGGATTCAACTCAAACAAGGTACAGCTTGGCTCATCAGATTCAAACGTTACCTCTACAATAAAACGATCGTAAGGGGACCCCTTACCGTTGACGAATTGGATAATGCCGAAAGAGACTTACTAAAATACGTACAAGAGCAAGAGTTTGCGGAAATTAGACAATGGATTAAACGACACAAGCATTCTGATAACATTTCGTCCAAAAATCATATCACTAATAAGCTACGTCCAATCGCGATTGACAACCTGATTCGCGAAAGAGGACGTTTGAACCGTAGTGATCTTCCGGTAGAGCAGAAACATCCGATTATTCTACACAGCAAACACCCTATAACGGAGCTTATCATTCGTCACTACCATCAAGCTGACTGACACATGGGGGTGTACTACACACTAGCCGCCTTGCGCCAAAGGTTTGGGATCTTAAAGGGCACTACTGCAATTAAGAGGATCATACATAAATGTATAGGCTGCCGCATTAGATCAGCCAGGCCGATGTCATAACTGATGGGAGACTTGCCACCTATACGGATAACACCCGACTTCCCGTTCGCAACGACAGGAGTAGACTATTTCGGCCCAATCATGATTAAGGAAGTACGCAAACCTCGAAAGTGGTACGGATGCTTATTTACGTGCTTCAACACCCGGGCAGTTCACATAGAAGTTGCTTGCGCATTATCAATCGATTCCTTTCTAATGGCGTTGTCTCGCTTATCAAATCGCAGGGGGGCGCCGAAGAAGATATATAGTGATAGAGGAACCACATTCGTTGGATTACAGAAAGAGATACAACTTCTATTACCAGACTTTAAAGATAATAGAGTAGCTAAAGAAATGATTCGTCGGAATATAGAGTGGCACTACAACATCCCTTACGCAAGTCATCGTGGAGGTATATGGGAAAGAATAATAAGGAGCATACGTAGAATTTTGAGTGCTGTATCTGGCTAGCAAACTATGTCCTACGAGACACTCACCACCTATTTGACTGAAGTAGAAAGAATACTTAACGATAGACCTTTAGTTCCAGTTTACGACGACCCAAAACAACTTCAGACATTGTCACCTAACAATCTACTTTTGTTAAGAAAACCTAGCCTTCATCAGATTGAAATAAGCCTACGTGAGCGTTATTCTAGACAATGGCGACAAGCGCAACTGTTGGCAACTACATTTTGGCGTCGTTAGATAAAGGAGTACTTACCACTTTTACAGACACGAGCAAAGTGGACACAAGGGAGACGAGATCTACGAATTGGCAATCTAGTTTGGTCATTGGAGACACCTACACACGAAATAACTGGCCTAAAGGCCTAGTGGTAAGTATCAACCCAGGAGAAGATGGGCTAGTGAGACAAGCGAAGATCAGAACGTCAAGAGGCATAATTATTAGAGATATACGTAAAATTTGTTTATTAGAAGTAGCGGATGACTGAACAGTAGAGGGTAGAGAGACTCTTCAGAGTGACTGTGGCTAGAGTAAATTGTACCATTCCACCTCTGAATGTTTTAACGTTAGTTCCCAATCAGCGAAAGTAAGGAAAGACATGCTGTCTTTGGAGGGCGGTGTTCAGTTTGTCTTACATTGTTCCTACTCGCTCTCCTTCCACATCTTTGTTTATTGTTTTATACTACTTATTTATATTCAATAAGCAGTTGTATTCTTAACAATTTTCACATATACATTGTAACGCATGTTGTACTGTAACATTCGGAAACGTTCCCATATATTTATAATGTTTATTGTACTTATCATTGTATTTGTCATTGAAATTACTGTACTTTAATTATTGTAACAGTCATCCACAGTTGCGGATTTGTTTAAACGCAACACTTTCCATATTGTTTGCTCTTGGGTCGAGTTTCGATTGTTCATAAACTGCTGTCCAATTTCGACACAGCCATCGGCTGTCTTTGTACTATCGAAACCTTTACCACTTCATTCTTGAACGACGCGTTAAACGCCTAGACACCTCACAAGTTGAGAACCGCTTTTGTAGACAAATCGTTGTTTTGGAAATCGATTTTGTGCGTATCTCAATCGGGTTATTTGGACGCTTCGATAGACTTAACACCATCCTTACACTATCCTTCATCGATTTGTGAAGCAAAATGATGATCGCGACCCCTCATGCAATTTAAAATTAAAACTGTTAGATTTTGTACTAAGTAAACCTAATTTCAAACGATAGTCAGTTGATAAAAACTGATTTATCATCGAAGTAGTTTCTCAGTTTCCCAGAATAATATCACTTCATCAAAAAAAGAGCTCAAATTCAAATTAGCAGTTTTCTTGACGCCTAACACACCTCTCTGTATTCGTTATAACAATGAGTTTACCCAGAATACGTAACATTTCCTTTAAAGAAAAACCCCCACACTCTATGAGAAATGTCAAGTTGATTATTTATATCAGTGAGGATAATAAATTGACTGACTTGAACATAAGCAATATTCAAATCTTCACAAAACTCCCTTCTGATATTAATCAAGATAAACTCAAGAGGTATTTCCGCGGAGTTTTAGGGAGAAGCAGTGGCCAGTAGAATCCGATCAGGTTTGTTGTGAGACAGCAACTCACTGCGGACAATGATGGATGTGTCATTCAATTTCGTGGATTGGTTGAAGTTAGACATCAAAGCCGTCGGATGTCGGCCAGCTCAGTGGTCTAGTGGTTGAGAGTCCACGTGTGAGACTGATAGGTCTTGGGTTCGAATACCGCGAGGTGAAATCGTGGATGGGCACTGCTGAAGAGTCCCAAAATGGACAAGATGGCTGTGCAGTGTCTCCAAGTTTTCCTTGGTGGTCTAGCTTTAAATTGAATCATGATCTCAACTATTAAAATTATTATCATTCACAACATTTCGGAAGGTTTCCAAGTATTCACATGACTGTTGGATTTGTTCAATTGTTTTTCCCATGACACCAATTATAAGTGTAATTGTTAAATGAAACTAAGAAGAATGTACCAACCAACCGCTTGAATGAATCCTTATAACATGAAATGATGAATAAATTCAATCTGCCTTTAGTAGTTGATAAATCTCACTATTTGAAAAGTTTCAATGGTGAAATGTTCAGTTTGATGAGTCAAACTACATTGGTGAACAACTGGTTTTCAATATGTAACCTTCAATATGTTTCAGTTTTTATTCTCAACTAACATATACAAAATATTTATATTTGAATTCATGAGTTAACATAAGCTAGATTACAATTATAAAATTGGAAGCATTGTTTAAAGGCTGTTTCCTTTTAGTATGGCACTCCTCATCAGTGCACATCCATCATCCCACACCAAAGGGATTCGATCTCAAGTATGAACACCTAACATTTAGACCACTGAGACAACATCAGTCAATGGTAATCTCTAACTTCAATAAATCCATAGTCTTTCACAATCCTTCATCAATTGTCTGAAACGGATAACTATCTTACTACAATCTCCACAAATTCGTAATCTCGTATTGGTAACTATATGCTTACTCGTAACTAGTACCAAGATGTAACTCTTACAGAAGTCATGACAACTAGAGTTCAACTCATATTGAATATGTAAGACAAGTTAATTCAATGACTGACATTTCAACGGCTTCTTCTTTGATTACATAACTTACTTGTGATAATACAAACCAATTTAAAAATTCAAATAAATATTCAGTAACACGTTGTCTAAGAAATTGTGTTGTATTCATTATAGATTGTTGATTATTAAATGATTGTTCTAATTCTTTATTAGTAGTATATGATGATGATGATGTTAATTTCAATTGTGTTATATTCTGTTTATAAGTAGCTTTATCAGTAGTATTGTTAGATGTTGTTGTTGTCAATTGATTATTATTCACAAAATCTCTTCCTAATTTATCAATTACATTATGAGTTATATCACATTTTATATGTTCTGGTATACTTTCCAATAAACGATGTCGACATGTTTCTTATTCAGCTCGTAATAATTGAGCTTCTTTAATTTGGATCATTAAACGTTTTTGTTGTTCAATAATTTGTGACTAGAAAAAGAAAAGAAAAGAAAGAAAGTAAAAAGTCACAAAGATAAATAAACACTTTGAATGGTAGTTGTTAAAAGAAGATGTTGATGGTGATAATAGGACGAAACCAGCGTCAAAAATGGATTCCCCTGCTAGCCACTATCTATCTTTGCTTATAAAGCTTATGACTTCAGAGCAATATTGAGGCAGTCCGCATAAGATGCACATATGCCATCAAGAGACTGAATAACAATGGGAAGATACAAGTAAATAAAACCAAATGAATTTAATAATAATTAAACATTCCAAATAAAAATCATTTTTGTATTGGTTAGTTGAATCTCTCCATTGACGTTTAAGAATGCAAGTGACCAGTCCATATTGGCATATGAGTATCCTATACTGATTGCCTCGATATTGCCAGCATTCCATGTACATTATAAGCAGAGATGGATAGTGGCTAGCAGTAGAATTCAGGAAGAGCATTTTGTCCTATTTAGGACTCATCATTTGGATGTATCTGCATCTCAGGGTTCAGGTTCACTCCGCGAATCGAACCCAATAGCGTTCGTGTATATTGTTAGGTAAATTGAAAGTATCTATAAACGTATATACAGATACATATACATATTAATAATTGGATTAAATGTACAACTCTACTACTAGTTGACTGGAAAAATAAATTCTACATACTCCTTCATACCTTTTGAACATTCAACTAAAGTATGGAGGTTGCGTAGATTGTTATATTTCATTAAAATCATGCTCTGATCAATGTTGGGCTACTATCGACTTAGTGATTTAGAGAGTTGGTGTTCATGCTTGAGACTGAAGAGCATGGGTTGGATATTTGAGCGCGAGGTCGTAAATACGCACTGGTTAAGAGTTCTGTAGTAGAACGAAACATCTTCCCACCATTTCCAAGTTTTAAATATTAGTCTAGCATATGATCGGCTTATGATACGAATGAATCTTATTTCATTTTCCTTCATTAAATATTTTATTATTCAGTAAAGCACATTGAAAATAAAGAAGATCCTTAGTCTTCCACTTTAAGAAGGTATATAATTTAATGGGCAGATAATTGTTTAATCAATGCATTACAATACGCATATAATTATAAAATTTAAGGTGGTGGTTGGAGGTGGTCAAAAGAAAAATCTGGATCCAGGTTTCGTGCTACTTGGCACTCGTCGGCAAGATGTACCTGTAATCTTTAGGGCATTGATGCTCCCTGGCAGATTCGATCCCATGTCACCCAGCTTCACAGTCAGAGACGTTCCCACTGAGCTATCTAGGCCTCCACTGACCTCCTGTAGGACTGATATATATTCATGATTGTTTGATCACTGGGTGGTGATCAGTGTCATGCGTATCAAGTCCTTCTTAATACAGATCGTATCCTATCGACCAGGTTGCGATATGGCCACTAGTCTAGATGACTTGACATTGCTTTCACAATGTTGAGATAAGATGGTGAATGGAGATGGTCCAAAGGAAATCGTGGACCCAGGTTTCGTGCTACATGGCACTCGTCAGCAAGATGTGCTTGTAATCTTGAGCGGACTGGTGCTTCCATACGGGTTCTATCCCGTGTCACCCAGCTTCATAGCCACATTGCAACTTGACCGATAGCATTCGATCTGCACTAAGAAGGACTTGATACACATGACATTGATCACCACCCAGTGACCAATTTTGATTACTCTATATGTCTAAATATGTTGGTAGATTAAACATTGAATACATTGTAAGAAGATTAATCTCTGTGATAGATTGAACATTTGACGCATACACACATATATGTATATCTCTACATTATTCCATTCTCACGGTTGGAAATTTATGTTTATTCTCATTAATAAATTTCTAAAGATTTTATGATAAATAAAGAAGAAATGTTGAATTCATGAGGGGAGGCAAATCCTTCACATTCTATAATGAATCTGTCAATGAAACCATTAAATGGCATATACAACAAGTTCCAATTCAATATTCAATCAACTTTTTGTTTTAAATAAGTCATGTTAAACTAAACTTTCCGCTTTGTATTACGTTATCCTAACAATATATGATAGAACAATGACATTAATCAAGTTGTCTAATTTTATTGAAAAATGTGTAAATTTGATATGGAATAGATGACATATGGCCAACAGTGAAATACAGGACTCATTTTCTGTCATATTTTGGGACTTATCAATTCGATACATCTGCATCTCATAGTTGATGTTCACTTCGGGACGTGGATAGGATACACATTGAGGAAAGCACCCAACTGTTTTGCAAGACAAGCCCTCACATAGAATCCTGGAGGCCAACCGAGAAGAGGAAGACAAAAGAACACATTACACCGAGAAATGGAGACAGACATGAGAAGACTGAAGAGAAATTGGATAGAATTAGAAAGGAAGGCTCAGGATAGAACGGGTTAGAGTATGCTGGTCGGCGACCTATGCTCCATCGGGAGTAACAGCCGTAAGTAAGCGAGTAATTCATACAGATATATACTATAATTTCGTCATTATTATTATTTTTATTATTAAACTTACTATTCCTATTATCATTATCATTATTGTTGAAATCATTCAATAAGTGATTTGACAAAGTTGTTGATGTGTCATTTGTTAATGATATTGTGAAATGATTATAAGGTCATAATGGGTATCATTATCATTATTATTACATCATAATATTACATTACAAGATCATCTGCGTACAGAAGGCGCTTACCCACATAAAAATACTCACAAATTTTATCAATGAGAAATAAAGGGAGCAAAGGGCCTAAGACACGACCTTGTATTACACCACTTCTAACAGGGAGAGCGTTCGACAATGAACAGTTATTTTTCAGAGTTGAAACAATGAGTAAAGTGATATGATGTACGCAGTTTTCCAACAGTAAGTGCAAGAACCTGATTTCGTAGAGAAAGAGAGAGAGTAAACAGCTTTAGAAGAAGAAAAAGTGAAATATCGAGACCAGCATACTTGTACACAAATGATGAAATTCCGTCTGCTCCGTGCCCTCTCGAAAGCTGAAGGGTATTGAAAGCCTTAATAATTTTCAAGCATGTAAAGAAGGTAGATTTTATTGAGTTACTAGTCACGCCTATAACACTCGAAACAGAGCCATTTACGGATTTTTTGAATTTGCGAGAATATCACTGAATAAGTCTGCTATACTTTTAGAGTCGTATACAAAACTCTTATTATGCAGGATGCATGAAATATCAACATCTTGAGTTGATTTAGAGCGTTTATTGAAAAGGAGAATTACATTTTGCACTTCGAGCTAGTATAAGTTGCTAATAGCTCCTCATTAATGACTTTTAACCTACGTTGCTCTTTAATTTCGTTAAAATTTATTATTATTTGTGCAACTGCAATGGAGTCGTTTGACTGAAAATAACGTTTCTGTAGGCGTCTTAGTTTATTACGATATTTATCTGGCATATATAATTCGTAAGGTTTACTAAACATGTACATTTTAATTGGTGCAAAGGAATCTAGACAATAGTTAACGACCAAATAGAATTTGTTGACGGCATCTGTGAGACTATTACATGAGAAAAATTCATCCTAGTCTGAAAGTTGATCAGTGAGCGCAAGAGGTTCCAGTTAGCATGCTTATAGTCTCTATATTAGCAGGTTTTTTGAATTGGTCGGTTATAGGAGGAATAGATAGGGAGAGCATAAGCCACTATCCTATGGTCACTGCTTTCAAATTCATTGTATACATGTACAGATAGTAGGATGACATCTCTACTAAATATTAGATCATGTATATTATAATATGCCGGGAAGCTGTTCGTCTAAGATGGCTAACAGTTGCAAAGGATATGTCACACGGCGTACCCACTCGTGATTTGATGCGAATGAGTGGCCGAGCACCTTTAAGTAGGTGTGTCAAGTACAAATAACGAGATCACCATCAATGTCGAAGACTTACAGAACCATTTATTTTGGAGGTATATTTGCCGCTTCATCTCACTCCCCTGATAGTGGAGTACTGATCACATTGAAATTGGTCAGCCAGGAAAACGAAACTAAGAAGCTTGTCGATGCTGAACACTTCTGATGATTCGCTATCTTTGGCAGTATTTAGTCGCCTTTCTGTGATATAAGGAGGTATGCGGTACAGTGAAAGAAATGTACAGTGGCGATTTCTACTCATCGTAATCTCTGTCGTTTTTTTACCTTCTCCAGCCGTCCTGGGAAAGGAAAACGATTAGCTGTGAGTGTATGACGAAAGTACACTCGTACATGTACTGGGGCACGAAACGGGTGGAGAGAGGAACATGATTTGGTATACACGAGTTTTGTTAGCGCATATTCGCGTAAAAACAATTTTCGCAGTGATCTTTAGTGTTTGTAAAGTGTACATTTAAGCAGGAGATAGAACGATGTAATAAATATGGATAAAAGAAATAAGTTACACGAGAATGACCACGCCTGCAAGTCGAGACCTGCAATCCTGGCAGCACATAATCTAGCATAATTAATATTGTAGTTGTAGCTTGTCGGTTTCTACCGCGCTAGAAGTGTCTTTTTTAGATAGTCTATCGTATATACCAAGAACCTTTTAAGTGTACATTTTTAAAAAGGCTACATATCCAGTGTTCTAAAACACTCCGTCTCTTATTGAATTTGAATTTTCTAACGATTGTTTCGTCTATTTCTACAATTCTCTCAACCCCTTGAAACGACTCATGCAAGCCCCTCATTTTTATTGCACACAAATCTCTACAATACTCATACCATTGAACTGTCGAAGCTTCGGTAACATGTGCAAAGTTTGCAGCCAGTGTTACTAGTGCTTTATATATTCGGTTTGCAAGAATTATCATAATCGGTCTTAGTCTCAATCGTGATCGGGCGGAAACAGTTCCTGTTCCAGCAAAATCTTTTCTCCATTATTAAAATACAACAGCATGATAATCTGCACAAGGTGCAGGAGTCATTTGACTACTATATTTACAAATAACGGTACTTCTTCGTAATCAAGTATCAAAATTATTGATTAATTTACACATGTTTATTATATTGTGTAGTTCGTTTTACGTAACAATTTGTAGCTGTTGGTAATTCCTCAAAATCAATGGTGCTGTAAGTATTCGACATTGGATGCTAAGCACATTAGTTTTAGTGGACTCTTTAGCTGAGGGCGTTTGGTCATGCATCCGTACCAGATCACGTTACAGCACAGCGGGGGAAACATCTCCTACGATCATTAGCCAGGGTGGACACGATTCGATTACTGGTAAAGAGTTGTCAAATTAAAATACTGGTGGTATCTTAAGTGGTGAGCCCGACGTGATCTGGTACACCAAACAATAAACTGTGAGTCTGTTCCTTTTTGGAACATCAATATTCATTGTTATGCTTTATTTCAATTTTTATATATTGTGATTTTTTTCTAGTTTTCGGATATATTTTATTCAAAGCAATTAGTCCCTTTGATAAATTTCGATAATGCAATGAGAAGACGAAGATTATCAGAACTATGTGATATATTAACGCAATACATTTCGAACAATCTGATCACACATATACTTGTTAAGAACATTTATATATAAAAATAAAAGGTCAACTAGACCGGAAATAGGGGTAAGAATAGACAAGGATAATAATGATAAAATAATGTGAAAACAATTTGACACCTAATCACTCTGGATAATAAGCATATATTACCAGGGTAGGTTTAAAGAGAG